TGCAGCATTGAGGGCACGCTGTATCCCCTGTGCCATTTAAGGAGGCAGGCAGTAACAGGGGAACTCACTCTCAACCTCTTAGAAGTTCAAGAAAACTGTGAAGTGAACAAAAACCTAATGCATGTAGATCAGTAAGAAAAGGGCCATGGTGTGGAATAGGACTCCAGAGGAGAATGCCTGCTACCCGAGCATGCCAGTCAGTCAGAAATCCTCAGACTGCAAGGCAATAAGAGCCTGCTTGGGCAGTTTTCTCTAAGTATAAACTATTTTTTTTTTAAATTTTTAATTTCTCCATCTGATTACTTGAATTTCAATTCATTAAGATGCCTCAGGAAACCAAATTACATTCTAGCAGTCTAAAAAACATACCAGGGAGATTTGTGCTTCACTTGCTCTCCGAACTTGTTAGTAGTTCCTGTTGTTCACACCTGCACCGATAAGCAAGAGAAAGAAAGGTCTAAGAGACTGGAGGATCAGTTCCCAGAAAGGGATCTTTTGGGAATGGGCGCAAGGATGTGCACAGCCCCACGAAACCCACAGCAGTTTCTGGTGCTCACTTTCTCAGGACCCAAACTTGAAGCAGCAGGACACACCCACAGCAGAAGGTCAGCATTGCCTGCAATAACAATTCAACACAAGACTTTGCCTTAAGCTATGAAAAATCACATTTCTGTTTTAACATTTTGTCTGAGAAAACACTGAAGTAACTCAGTGGGAAAAGAAGTAACCATAGATATAAATGGCACTTCTTAACAGATAAATAATATTTACAAAAGCCAAGAAATTAAGAACTCCTGTTCCAGATGGACACAGCTAACACAGCTAAATATTGACCTACAGTAACTCAAACTAGAAACTCTCAAGTGTGGCTACAGAGGATTTTATAAGGGGATATTATGGAAAATGCAGACTTACTACACAGATGCATGTTTTCTAATGCATGGGCTATCATGTAACTGTGCAGAAAAAGCAAACTAAAACTTTGAGAACTGGTGTTCTAAACCACTTGGAGCACCTAAAAGCCAATGACTACTTATAGAAAAGACAGAGTTTCTGTGGGAAACACAGCTTTGTATTTCCTGACTTGCCCAAATGTAAAATATATTAACTGAATCATGTTAATGAGCCATCTGATATGACGGGGAGGCAACTGTATAGGAAAATCAGAGTCAAAATAGATGAGAAATAAGAGTTCTCAAGAAGCACTGAAAAACTTACAGAAACCTCTAACAGGACATTTGCTTGAAAAATGCCATAATTATAGCTAAGTGATTTCATTACTTGAGTTTCCAAGCTCTTCTCTCAGAAATTAGTCAAATTCAAGGAGCAATGTAGGCTATGCAAACCATTCCTACCTCTCGGGTTGTGGTGGTACTCTCTACAGTGGGAAAGGACAGCTCTGTTTTGCTTCACTAGCTGCTGTTTTCAGGGTGGTATGGACAGTCTTTAGCAAAAGCCTTTAGTGAAATTCAGTCCAAAAAAAGAATCAGCAGGATGTTAGCAAGAAAGTAAACTTCCAGAAGAATATTTGTTAAGAGTTTGACCAAAACAGTTCCAAGAAAAAAAAATAAAGACCTTTAGCCTTATCCTAATCTTCTTCCTTCCTATTGAAGCATGTTAGAGATTTGCCTCATGCCACAGCAGTTTTAAGAAAAAATAACCCAAAACCTAACTCAGAACAATGTCTGGCTGAAGAAGAGAGGCAAAGAAGTCTTTAGTTATATCCGTATTTTCAATATTACAGTTTTCAATACCGGATAATGTCAGCGTTAACACAGAAGTAGCCCATTTTCAACCCCAAACAAGAACTCTGGAAGCTTTATTTATACAGATTATTTTAAGGGCTTCTTGCTCTCTCATTCATTTATTGCACAGATCATCTCCTCCCATAAGCAACTGTGTAATCTCTCAGTGGCAACAAAGCCAATTGCTTAGTGTCCCAATATTACTCTCCCATGTACTTATGGCTGCCTGAATTCAATAGCTGGAGATAAAAAGGAATTACGGTCATGAAGTTGTGCTCTCTAGATGACATTTTGAGAGTCTGTGCTGTAGAAAAATAATTAAGTGAACACACATCTATCTCTTGGTTCTGAGCTGCTCATATTAAAGTTTAAAAATGCTCTGCAGTCAAGGATTGCCACCTGTTCTTTCATTTTAATTTAAAAATTCTGAATCATATTAAATGTAAGCCTGAAAATGCTTGTATTCTGGAAATATGTGCATTCACCAACCGCAACAATTATTATCACATTAAATTTATGAAGATATATGAAAGAATGGCACAAAGATTAAAGGGTATTATAAAACCAAAAATATATACGCTTGTATATTATACAGTACAAATACATGTTTTCAAACCACTGTCTCCACTATGTCTAGAGAAGGCACACATTTCAATTAATAATACATTCAGGCTTTATTTTCTGTTGTAACTTTCAGGAGACATTACCCTTTCAGGCATGATATTGTAACAGTCCTACTGAACTTCAACTTTCATTAGAAGACATCAATCAACTTTCTTTCAGTAAAAACACATGTTCGCTGTAGACCACAAAAATTTTTTAAACAACAAAAGAAAGCTCTATCGTATATATATATTTACGACCACAGACAAAAGATGAATCAAATCTTGTCATGTATTTATCAATTAAATTTAAAAATGCTTTTTTTACTTCAAACTCTAAGTCCAAAACAATTTCCCTTTCTCCCAACACCCTGAATTCACGCTTCATTTCAGGGCTCCAGATTTTCTAAGCTCTAATACCAGTACAACCACTTACCCTTTAAACTCCAAAAAAAATACCCTAACTGATTCTGCCTCTGAAATGCTTCTCCATTTTCAAACAGCTCCTCATCGTCCCTTGCCACCTCGGTAAAGGCAACCATCTGACATTAACTTTTTATAAACAGGGTGCTTTGAACTTACAGTAACAGATGAGCTTAATTTTAAAATACTGTATTTACTGAAACCTGCGTATGTTTATCATGTTGCAAGTTTTAATTTTTCTTTCAAACTATTCTTATTAATTTTTACCCTCAACTTTTTGTCTGATTGAAGTTCGCTGCGGTGAAGCTTATAGAGACAAGACCTTCTGGTTAAAACTGACAGACAGTTGTTTCCATTTGCAAATCCTGTCGATTTTTATTGGCTCATTAAATATGTATACTTTGAATGAGATTTAAATTAGCCTGGTATATAAATAATCTTTTTTTTTTTTTTTGTTCCTCTCACAGAAAATTGACTACTGCCATCTCGTGGTCAAACATTTCCATCTGACACACAGACATGGTTGGACTGTGCCCAAATACCTCCTATTACAGTATAGGTAAATTTTTTTAACTACAAACATTCCAGAAAATAAGAGACTTGATTAAAAGTATTTTACTCCATTTCCAGCCCTAACGCCTCACTCAATGATACAGGCTAGAAGTGCTGTCTCATTAACACTTCAAGACAAAGTTAAGCTGTAGAAGCATGAAGTACAGTGTTAAGAGGAGAATCCCCCCTTTCCACCTTCTCTCTGATGCTTAGTATGAAGTATTGGTGAAGAAGAAGAAGAAAATAAAGATTTCTACAACCACCATTAAGGGAAACTGCTTTTTAAGTTGGGAATGAGTTGACTCTGCAAGGCACATGATTTCCTTTCTGGTGATTTAGAGGTCACACTAAACTTATTGGAAATTTACATTCCTTCAGCAATTTGGATTTTCTGAACACCAGAGGAAAAATACCATTCTTCCTATTAGAAAAAAATCATTGCAATATTTTCCACCAACGCTAAATAAAAGAGGTAACTCCCTTTTTTTAATAAATTATGTCTTTATTTAACCACTTTAAAAACACGTATTGATAAATCTCCTTACGACAAAACATAGCCATGCACTACAGTGTGCCACTTCAGTTCTGTAAGCTTTTCCACTAACTGTCCATAGAAGCTAAGTTTTACATTATTCATAACTTTCTTCAGACTTAAACCATGGTTTTGAAATTAGGTTCCAAGTCCCACAACCAATAACATTGGCCCAGGGCTTTTCTTACCACTTATAAATAGTTGAAGCAAAATAATGCCATCAGAACTATAACTCAATTAGATGTTTTAAATAAATTAAATGGAAGAAGTTCAAAGAATTATTTTAAAAAGGGCTCGAAGGAAGAATTTCTCTATAGTAGGGTGGAGCATTTGTAATTGCATATATTGCAGACATGCAGGTTTTTAGATTCCTGTTCTTAGCACGTAAGATTAAAACTGCTCCATATCTCACTCCACCACCTCCACAAACTTATTATCTGCTATAACAATTAAATATGGCAGTAACACGCACAGTTTATGTTATTCCAACACTGACTTGAATTACAAGAAACAATAAATATTCTTTACCTCTCATGCAATATCCCCAACAAACTCTGTTAAGTAATCTCCAAAAATAGCGTGGTTATGCATAGATAATACATAGTGTCCTTCACAAAAGAAAATCACTGTCACACACTAGCCCTCAGCAAACCAGGCCATTTCAACATTGCAAATCTCCTTTTTTTTTTTTTCACATTTGCATGTGATCTTAATTTTGTATTATCTTTCAGTTCTCCTCTAGTATCCCTGCATTTTCTGATATGTATGACCCACTGTCATCTATCACATTAAGAATATTTTGTTTGCTGAACAGTATTCTATAGAGCAATTAAGATTAATTTGACTACCTAATATGCACATTGTAATGCTCTTGGCAAATAAAAATTTAAATAAATACTTAATTGCAAGGATTCTGATGACTTACACGCAGATGCATTTCCAGTCCTTTCAGTGCACCCCAACAGTATCATAACTATATACATAGATTTACACACACTATATATAAATGTTCGGAAATTTTGGGAATTTGGTAGTAATGAAAACAAAATTTTAAAAAATCAGAAGTTTACTATACATGAGTATACAACAACATTTAAAAGTGATGTGTTTAACTAAAAGACTGTTTCCTTATTGACATTGATTTACCTTCTTGTTGCGTCTCTTCGGACTTCCTTCTGACATGAGTAACTCGGGGTCTCACAGTCTCAACTTGTGCAGCTCCTCGGTCTTCCTCCTACACATCATACATTAAAATCATAGTACAAATCTGACTTTTGATGTAAAAGCACAGTAAAATTATGTGCAACTTCAAGAAACATCCAAAGAGGTTTTTAAAGATTCATTTTATATACATAAAATATATACACTTGTTCTCCTTCCTTTTGACTTCAAAAGAATTCACATCCCAATTAGCCTATTGCAATGCAATTTCCTCTAGACAAACATCCTGGGCGCTGTAGGTATGGCAAAGTGCCATTTAGTTCTGAAGACACAAGACCCTCAATTTCAACTCAAAAGCACATGGTGGAAATAACGTAAGATTTCTCTGGCTTTCTCCAATACCCAGGACTTCTCCCTAGGTATTATCCTCCTAAGTAAAAAGGGAGAGTTGAAAAGGAAAAGAAAAATAAAAATTTCAGCACATAGGTTGGAAAACCCCTGCCAAGTACAAAATTTATTTCCTTGACCATGTTTTTTAAAACCATTTTCCACTCTTCCTGCAGTTCTCTTCAGGATCTAGATCTGCAACAATGCCTATGGGAAAACAGTTTCTTAGAAGCAACAAATGCTCTGCATGTTAAAAAGGGAGACATCATATTTATCAAGGATGCTTGTTGTCTTATGTGTTAGCTGGAACAGGAATTGTGGCCCAAGGACATTCCACTACATGTAGACAGGAATCATGAGAAGTGCCAAACATAGTCATGGAGATCTAGAAGACTAACGCATTCTCTAAGAGAAATAAATTCATCAGTTATTCTGTTGACCCCACAGATGAATATAAGATACTTAATGAAGATTCTTAAAGAAGGAGGAACATGAGAAATATTATAAATGTTTGCATATCACACAGCATTTGGAGCCTACAGACAGAACTGCTGCGTGACTTCTGTGAAAATTATATGCCCTGAGAAGCAGTGGCACGAGTACTCTCTTGAAGACCTAATGACAAAGTACCAGCAGTATTCTGCTCCACAAAAGCTGAAAAGGAAGCAAAGGAAAGTATGCTTCAGTTCAGTGAGAGAAACCCTCCACTGCTGTGGAGACCACAAGTGAAACAAGCAGACAAAAATATAGACAAAAAGACGAAAATGTTTATGTCTGGCAAACAATAAGCGTGATGCCAACGACACAATCAGGGCTTCCCACTTCTTTCAGCCACCAACTGTCTTCTAGGATAACAGGAATTTCAACAGTAATGATACTGCTTCTCATGTAGCTAAGGATCTCTTAAGCCACTGTTGCAAAAATCTGGAGGAACAAAAAGATAAACCATTCGGTCATGGTCTTTTCCTCAACAGCTGCATGGACTTGTTTACACTCCCCAGTGAACAAAGCTGATGAGTGTAAGCTGACAAAAGTGAATATACACACACCTGAGATCAAGCTAGCATCTCCACAAGGCACGATGCATGTGGATACACCAGTCAGGATTGGCACCTCTGCACACCACAGTACTGACCAACTGTTCATCATTTAAAGCTCACAAGATAGAAAGATTTGAGATGATTTTCTGAAAGCAGGAAGGTCTCAGGGAAATGGGATCAAAGGCCATTAATGTTACAGAATATTAAATGTAAGCAGCATGATAGTATACTCAGCAGTCCATTTGAAGTGTTTTTTTTTTTGTTTTGTTTTGGATTTTTAATAAGACAAACCAAAAACCAGTTTTAACTGAACTAAGGTACAAACAGAAATTGAGAGATAACACACAGATTCCTAACCTACAATTATGCATTCCTGGAACATTAAAAACCACGTCTTTTGACATACTAAAAATGAAAGCTAATGCGAATACCAAAGTGACAATCCCACTTAAAAAATGTTGATTATCTAAAAACATTCATAGCTCTATAAGAACATTACGAAAACATTTTGGAACTGATTTTCTAAGATTTTAACAATGCATTTGGGATTTCAAATTATTTAGATTGACCATCTTTGAAACATTTAGCCACCCAAATTTGACTTTCATTGTTTATGTCCCTCCCATGATCAAAATGATTTATCTAGAACAGGAGGAGCCCAGCTTCCTCCTAGTCATCTCTTGCTTCTTAGAGCTATGTGCAAAAGGGGCACAATGGCCACAAATAACAGTTAATTCCTGGATTGTTGCACAAGAACAGACAGAAGGGGTCAAACGAAGATGCATTCAGTCTGGTATTCTGTCTAACAGTGGCTAAAAGCATATATAAATCTCACGAAAATCCGGTGCCAGAAATGGGGAGATAAGAAGACTCCTGTATGACTTAAGCCATTTGTTTTGGAGTAAGTGACCACACAGACTTCACTCTTCATGACTAAAAGAAGGCATTTG